AGAGGAAAAGGAGAAGGGGGCGCCCCGCACGTGAATGGCAGCGAGACACGAAGGTCCTTTGAGAAGCCGGGGGAATCGAACACAGGCGCGGGGAGCTGTCTCTTATACACATCTAGATGTGTATAAGAGACAGAGCGTACTCTCTCTCTCCCCCCTTCTCACCAATCTCCCCGTATTGAATCTGCTGTCGATTGTCTTCCTTTTTCCCTTTTTCCTTCTTCATTTTTTCTCTTTTGGGTGACGGGGTTGGAGGGTCAAAAAGGGGGTTACTGGGAAATCCAAGTCGTATAAGCCCTGTCTCTTATACACATCTAGATGTGTATAAGAGACAGCATCCCGACCGTACCCCCGTCCACGTGGGCGGGAAACCCGTGAACGGCCGTTCACGGATTTCAGGCCGGGTGACTGGCCGGTCATGGACTGGTGACCGGTGCCGGTCACGTTCACGGGCTCGGCACTGTTGATAAGTAAGTCAGTGAATGAGTGAATCATCCGATGAAACAATGAAGCAGTCAATGCACCAATCAGTCAGGCAGCCCGTCCGACGAGCAATGTGCTAGTAAAAAAATCAGTCAAATGGACTGCCAATCAAAGAATTGTATCAGCGCAATCAACCAAGGGTGTCAGACCAGGTCGTCGTGATTCACGAGCTTGTTTGCGGTACGAAGCATCCGTTTGGCCCAGTGGTCGACATCAGGTGCGAGCCACACTGTTAGGATGTATTGGATTGATTGATTGATTGATTGAATAATTGAATGATTGGTTGATTGATTGATTTTTTTTTATTTTTTATTTATTTATTTATTTTTTCTAAGGAAAGAGCTCCATCTATTGGTAGGGAGCTGCACCTGCTGGAAACCGTGTCCAGCGTCCCTCACATTATGAAAGTAAACAGGGGATAGAAGAGCAAATCTTAGTGAACCCTATGCTGGAAACCGGATCCAGCGTCCCACTCTTACTGACTTTATTGATTGATTGATTACTAATTACAGATATGAGAGAGAGAGAGAGAGAGAGAGAGAGCTCTTATACACATCTAGATGTGTATAAGAGACAGGTACCTGGTTGTCTCGATGTCGACATTGCTCCAG